TGAGGTGACTTTCCTAAATCGCTGCTTTTGGCTAATTGCCACAGTACCTCGTACTATGGCAACCATCTGCTTAAATAGTACCCAGATACAAATGTAGGCTACCTCTTTGACAGGTACTCCCGCAACTACTTTGATGAGCTGTTTTTTTCATAGTCACTTTCCAACTTCTCTATTCCGCTTATTACCAGATTGCCCTCATTCCTTCCCATGTGAAGTGGACATCTGCCTCATTTTCCACGTTTATATTTTCCATTTAATATTGCATGATATTGATTTTTGTTAAGCTCACTGTATTTTGCAATTATTAGCTCCAGGGGATTTTGCAATTATTAGCTTTTTGAAAACGCCACCAAATTGCTACGAATTTGAAAATCCAAAATGCGGCGATAAGGCTGATCTAAATAAGGAAAGTTAATGTTTAACCCAGAAATTCCGAGATTAGGTGTGCATCGATAACTGGAAAACAGAATGAAATGATGATTAAATGCAAGAAAAACAATGGCAAAAATAGTGAAAGATGATTGGAAATCATAATAAAACCCTTAAGGTGAAATCATGAAAGAATTGTAGAAAAAAACCATAGGATAAAATTAATAAAAAAGCCACAGGTTGAAACTGCAGAAAAAGATGTAAGAATTCAATTATGAGAGGGAACTGAGAAAAAAATTACAGAGAAAAAGTTATGTGATAAAATCATGAAAAAGTTGAACTTCTAAAATTACATTTAGTTCTTCAGACAGAGCTTTTTTGGCAGTAGAGCTTGTTATAATTGAACGCCTAACTCACAATTTAGACTGAGCACAGTTCGCAATGCGGATCGCATAATCGTTTTGGAGTGTGGGCAAATTGTGGAGGAAGGGAGCCCGGAAGAATTGCTAGCGAACAGAGATGGTCGTTTTCATCGGATGTACAACGATCAGAAGCTCGATTCGCTGGCTGTTGATAAGCTGGTCGCAAATCCTCGTGCTCGGGCCAAAGTTTCTTTGGCTTCACACTTCTCGATGACCCCCTTCGATTTTATTGTAAGCATCAAACTGTAACGATTTTTTTTTGGCTTTTCTATGCTTGGTACAGCAGTCGTTAAGGTCCTGAGTTCCAAAATGTCCACCTTTTTGTTGCGGAATTCCCACGGAAAGCCGGCAAAAATTGGAAAATGTACCGCATATGGTTGGAGTGTCAGCTGCTTCAGAGTGGCATGTATGGGGTTGCATACAAATAAGTGTGTGGAGCACAAGGGCCGGTGGCGTAGTGATCAGCAACGTCGCGTCTAGATGTGAAGAGCAGTGGCTCGATTCCCTGCCGATCCGCGGCTGTTTTCGAAAATGGTATTAGTTTGTCAGATAATTCAGCTTCAGGACATCGAAGGCTGTCTTGAAGCTACAATCTCCGAGGTTATCGTATCACTGGCTACTACAATATGTAGATGTTCTAGGATGCCGAAACATATCGCCGTGCCTGGGCGCGTTCCTCACTGGGAGCCCATAAACGATTGGGTAAATCGTATACCGTACTCAGTACCAATCGTGCAAAATTAGCGCTACCGGTGATGTCCAAGAAACGGAGCGGCATGGATACACCGTTCAAGACCAATATCATGGAGGTAGCAATGGAGGATAAAGCTGCCTACGATGATGACACTTCGGTCTGACTTTTTTTTTTTCGATTTGCACTATCAGATGGAAGTAATGTGGCATATCTAGCAATTTTTGAAAAAGGAAAAAATGGTGATAGGCAATTTACAAAGAAAAAATTCCGGCAAATTTTATATTTGGTCACTACACAACACAGAAAGGCTTTTAATTAGAAAAACACAAGATTGTTTTTAAAAATAGGATAAAAAAGATGATTTCGGATCATTAATTTTTAAATATTGAATGATAGTAATTAAAATATAGTCAATTCTTTGCCACGAACCGTGACTGTTACACTCAACCTCGTCCCTAGATTATTTTGGTCAAATTCGATCTTTGTAATTCATGTAATGCACTCTTTCGTTCTTTTTCATAAAAACTGAG